TGGTTGTGGTTAGGGGTAGGGTTAGGGTTAGGGGTCGCTGGGTGGGTAAGGTTATCTTTATTTATATCCGCTCCTTGTTTATCTCTGTTTTTCTTGCAGGAAGACTCTGTTGATATTTAGAACGGTACCATCCACATTCATGTTTCATCCACTCTACGCGTAGGAATTACCCATATTTCCTGCACCTTCAAACTCATGAACTGGAAGTGACCTCTAGTTTAGCTGTTTTTGACATACCTGTATGTAACGGACCGTTTTGCACAAAAACCCGCTTAGACGATAATCCCCTTTCAGAGACAGGCACAGCTACTGTAGAATCACCCAAAACTCACGAATTGAATACAAGTGAATGCACCAAACTCCCGAACTGCATACAAGGGAATGCTCCAAACACTCGAACTGCATACAATAAGTGAATGCTTCAAACTCCCGAACGGCATCCAATATAGCACTCCAAATACATGAACAGGAACCATACGAATTGCTGCTACCAGACGAATAGGAAAAGCATCCAAGCGGCTTACACTCCTAACAATCAGTCTCTATCAGCATTCAGTAAATCCCCCCAAAGACGAGACAAGGCTCCGTGTTGGGGGTCAAGCAGTGGTCTGTTTAATGAGGGCTACCTGCCCAGCTTTTATGCAGGTCTCCCACCTGGTGGACACTCCCCTAGGGGACCAGATGGAAGACTGTGACAAGGGACAGACAAGTATACAAAAAGGACACACAGTCACAGTATATTCCCACAATGCATCCTGGCTTCCTCCCCTCTGCCCTGGGAGATAATTGGGAAGTAACTCAATTATCTCCCAAGACAAAGGCAAAACTCCATTACACATGTGGGGACACAAAACCAGTATTATACTTTAAAATACATAAAGTAACATTTATTACATAAAACACAGACATGTAACATATCCCCAGATAGCTCAGGTCTGACCACATGAATACAGTTTAATCGCCATGGAGCCAAAGTCTTTACAGTCAGTTTCATACGAATGGGCTCCATGGGATTCCTATCTGGGGTATAACACATTCAACCAAAACTACCGAACACCGGGCCGTTCGTGCACTTCCACCGAACAAGAAGGGAAGTCGACGGCTTCAGCGGTGTTCGCGCAAAACTGTGTCCGATTTTAGTTCCATTAAAATAGGGGCGAACACCGCTGTGCATTCGTATGTTTAAAATGGCCGCGACCTCGTGTTCGGGATACGAATGTCAGCCACCCAGCATTCGTCAATTAAGCTGCGGTTAACCGCAGCTTCAGGGAGGTTAATTGCCGGCACACTCCAGCTCCCAGGTGGTCCAGTCATTCGTACGGTTGTTCGGTAGATTGAATCTACGGAACCCCAGGCAGAAAAGCACGAATGAAGCTTTTCTGCAGGTAAAAAAAGATGTCTTTTAACAGGGGGCCATAGTCCAAAGGCAGCAGGCGAGCAACCAGGCTTCTCCAATGCAATGTGGCGAGATTGGTCTCGTCACACTGTATTTTTCAAATTTTGAACCAAATACAATTTTAGAGTAAATTAGAGTAATTTTAGAGTAAAATTAAGAGCAACATTCTTCAACCAAACTGCACTGTGAACTGATAATTTTGAGAAATTACTCTGCCCCCTGTTCTCCTGCAATTCAATGTTCTTTTGAGGAGTCCAGTCCAATACCCACAGTCTTTTAGGATGGGTAGTGGTGACCTTCAGAGCTACACTTCAGCTCACGACAGATCCCAAACCTTTAACACTTGCATTAGTTTAGGAAATGGTACTTACCTGCCTAGCCTGATAGCTTAATAGATAGACTAAGTTTAACTCCAGGACTAAGGAAAGCAAACATTGGGGACTGCCACCAATCAGAGTGTTGTTATGAGTCAAATTACACAGCGTGGGAAAATTCCAAATAATTTTCCCACGCTGTGTAAAATGACACAGAGCACTCTAATTGGTGGATTTCAAGCTAACCAATCAGAGTGCTGTGACAAGTAAATGTAGAGACTTACCTGTCAGTCTCTTCATTTACCTGCCAGAGCAATCTGATTGGATGGCTTAAACCCACCAATCAGAGTGCTCTGAGCCTAATTGCAGGGCGTGGCAAGGCTTAAAAGCCTTCCCCTGCCCTACAGAGCTCAGTCTGCGTGGAGCCCTCCATGGGTGAAGATGGATTATTTTTTGCGCTCGTTTTTCTTTTTTTAAAGTGCGTCGTTATTATAGATTTTTATTTGGCCTTTTTTGGGGCTGAAAAAAGAAGAGTTTAGAAGAAAGAAGACATCAAATGGTAAGTTTATTTTTAATTTTTTTTTACAGGTTTCTAGATAATGGTCCCCCCTCATTATTTTTAGGATTAGGGGGGTGGGTAGGGGTTTTTTTTTTTTTTTTTACAGTGTGCAGCCACTGGCTGCTCACTGTTTACTAGACATGCCCCTACACGCAGTATAGCGAGTAGGGGCATAATTTACTAATACTAAGTAATCTTTACTTAGTATTAGTAAATGTGGCTGAAAGACCAATTGAGGTCTTCCAGCCTTTTAGCAGATAGCTCCCTAATACCTTGGGAATTAAGGAGTTATCTACTTATTCATTCCTGTCATTCAATTGACTGGCTAAGTAACTTACATTTTATATGAATGTGTGTTACTTGATTGTTGTAAGTATTGCAAATGCTTACAGCTGAATCCTGGCTATGTCTGTATACATTTTATTTAAAATTGTATACAGTGTTATATTCTTCTTCCACTGGGTAAGTATATTAGTACTTAGGCAATACTGTGCTTTGGAACTTCGACACTTTGACACTTCGGAACTTCGGCAACTTCGGCACTTCGACACTTCGGAACTTTAGCAATTTTGGAACTTTGGGACTTCAGGAATTCGGCACTTCGGCAATTCAGCAATTTAGCTCTTCAAACATTCGGAAGTACCCGAATGTCTGAATAGCCTGAAATTCAGCCGAATTCGAATTCAGACAGAAACTAATTGCACATGTCTAGTTAACAGTCTGATGAGTCTCGCCCGGTGACGAAGGGTGAGATGTGGACGGGTAAGAGCCCTGTGAAGTTCCTTGTGGATTATTCAAATTTTTGACGCGGGCAGGCTCAAGAAGTCCTCTTCTGAGTTCACAAGGAAGCCCAAGAATTCCATGCATCTGGATGGTATCAGACAAGATTTCTCCCAGTTGATGTGAAAATGTAGCCCGGTCAGCAGATCCAGCGTACACCGTGGATACTGAAGGAGAACAGAGTGGTCCTGGGCCATGACCAGAATATCATCCCTGACTGCGGAGCCAGGCCATTGCCGGACGTAACAGCTTGGTGAAGCACCAAGGTGCCGAAGAGAGACCGAATGGAAGACAGGTGAAGTGCCATATGTGTTCCCTCCAGCAGAAGCGTAGAAGGTCCCTGGAATCTGCATGTACTGGCACCGTCAGGTATGCATCTTTCAGGTCTAGCTTTGCCAGCCAATCCCCGTGTAGGAGTAAGTCCCTGAGAAGATGGATGCCATCCATCTTGAAATGCCAGTAGCATACCCTGGAATTGAGCGGGCGCAGGTTTATACCTGGGCGCATTTGGCCACACTTTTTCTCCACCAGGAAGATATTGCTGATGACCCTGATGGGCTTAGAGGAGCCAACTCTATAGCCTCCTTGGCACGTAAGGTGGACAGTTCCTCATCGACCAACCTGCGAACCCGAAGAGAAAAACAGATCGGTCGAGGGTTAGGGATGCCATGAGGAGTCCCCACTAGCTCTATGTGAAACCCCTTCACTGTGTCTAAAACCCATGTGTCTGATGTGATAAACGCCCAGGCTGGGAAAAAAAAGTGTGAGTCTGCACCCTACACAAACAGGAGAACAAAAAAACATGTGGAAGAATCATGCTTACTGTAGGGTCGTCTGCTACAGGAATGTCCTCTGAATCCCCTTGACTGCCATGGTCGACTACGGGATGGGAAGAATGGGGATCAGTTCATTAACCTCCTGGTAGCTAGAATGCTAGAATTGAAGAAGCTTCTTCCTGTGCCATGGGAAGAAAAATAGCTGAGGCCGGCCCTGGTAGAGACCCTTCCCTGGAAGACTTTCCTCATGGAGGACTAGGCCTTATCTAGGGCCTTAAATGCCCCAACAAAAAGGCCAACATCCTTAATAAAGGAGCCACCAAATAGGAAAATTTTGGGCACCTTTGCCAGCCTCAGTGAGGGCGAGGTTAACCAGTTTAGGTTCAATCTTAAACAGGATGGCTTTACGTAGCTCCATAGATAGAGAAGCATTGACGCTGCCCGCAATACAGATGGCCCGTTGGACCCAACCATGGAGTTCGTCCGGGTCGACTAGCCTGTTATCAGCCCTGTCGTCCTCAGCGAGATCAAACAGCTTAACCAGGGGCCCAAAAATATCAAGGTGTTTATCCGTCCATGACCTAAGTGCTGTGTCCATGCCCTTATGTGGGTTCCAGCCCAATTTTGACAAGAATTGTGCCATCTTGGAGTCAACTTCCAGGCTCTCCAGAGTGTGTTTGCATGCCAGAGACAACTTGCGAAAGTGGCAGCAAAACAAACGAATTTTCGAATATGAAAAAAACAGCGAACTATCAAACGTTCGCGGTCCGAACTGCAATGATAAAATAGGCAAACGGGTGTTCTAATGCAAACATCCAAACGGCAGACACTAGAAAACCAATCAAAGTGCCGAACGGGTGTGAAAAAAACACAAAAACATAGAAATATAGAAACATAGAATGTGACGGCAGATAACAACCATTCGGCCCATCTAGTCTGCCCAATTTTTAAAAATACTTTCATTGGTCCCTGGCCTTATCTTATACACCTTGTTCCAAATTATTATGCAAATGATATTTTTCTCATTTACCTAAATAATTGATGTAAATAACAGTCAGCATAATTCTCATGTTATCAACTATTAAGAGTACAATTCAAATTTTATTGAACAAACCTCTTAATGATAACAGTATTTTTTTTAAACATAAAAACTTACAATGCACTGTTCCAAATTTTTACGCACAGTAAGTTTCAAAACACTTTATAGGTTGTAAAGAACTGAAAACTGTCATTTGTTGTGTTTGAAGCATATTTACTGAAATCAAAAGCTATTTCCATCAAACTTATTACAACATTTTAACTTTTTTAACATTTTAACAGGTCACGTTACATTTTAACATAGGACCCCTTATTTGATAGCAGCTTCACAAGTCTTGCATCCATTGAACTTGTGATTTTTTGGACAGTTTCTGCTTGAATTTGTTTGCAAGATGTCAGAATAGCCTCCCAGAGCTGCTGTTTGGATGTAAACTGCCTTCCACTCTCATAGATCTTTTGCTTGAGGATGCTCCAAAGGTTCTCAATAGGATTGAGGTCAGGGGAGGATGGAGGCCACACCATGACTTTCTCTCCTTTTATCCCCATTGATGCAGAGGTATTCTTTGCAGCATGAGATGGTGCATTGTCATACATGAAGATGATTTTATTACGGAAAGCATAGTTCTGTACCAGGGAAGAAAGTGGTCAGTCAGAAACTCCACATACTTTGCAGAGGTCATCTTTACACCTTCGGGGACCCTAAAGGGGCCGACCAGCTCTCTTCCCATGATTCTGGCCCAAAACATGACTCCACCCCCGCCTTGCTGACGTCGCAGCCTTGTTGGAACAGGGTGGCCGTCCACCAACCATCCACTACTCCATCCATCTAGACCATCCAGAGTTGCACGGCACTCATCAGTGAACAGGACTGTTTGAAAATTAGTCTTCATGTATTTTTCTGCCCAATGCAGCCGTTTCTGCTTGTGAGCATTGGTTAGTGGTGGCCGAATAGAAGGTTTATGCACAGTTGCAAGACTCTACAACTTGATGTCCGTGGGACTCCAGAGGCACCAGCAGCTTCAAATATCTGTTTGCTGCTATGTAATGGTATTTTAGCAGCTGCTCTCTTGATCCGATGCATGGATCTGGCAGAAATCTTCCTCAATGTGCCTTTATCTGCACGAACCCGTTTGTGCTCTGAATCAGTCACAAATCTCTTAATAGTGCAATGATGCTAACGTTTTCGTGAAATATCTAATGTTTTCATACCTTGTCCAAGGCATTGAACTATTTCACTCTTTTCGCCTTTTTCTTCCCCATATTGCATGAAAATAGTGCTCTGCTAAATAATGTGGAATATAATTAGCACAGAAAGAGGAAGTATGAAGGGAGGTGCTGACTATTATACTGGGACTTGGTATAGGAGGTGCCTATTACTATGTATACCATTATTTTTTTTTACCGTTTACAGTATTCTTTGCTGCTATTGGTGGACAGTTGAGAAAGGGATATGCAATATGAGCCTCTGTGTCTTGTTATAAAATTACTTTTACACAATCCGTAATTCTGTTATTTTAATTTCTTCTGATAGATGTATTAATAGTGTGACTATACAATTAGTTTCTGCTTTTGAAACTATTGCAATTATACCATCTATGTCAATTTTGTCTAACTGTGTTGTATGTTACCATATCTTGATGCTATTAGTAAGATGATTTTAGAAATAATAGAGCTGTTTTTTAACTAGTAAATCTTTCTCGTCTATTTATTGCTACAACAATTGCAAGCAACTGCACTTTGACCTGAAAAACGATACTCTATTTCAGAAATTAATACAGTTATCGTTATTTCAATTATACAAAGAGATGAACCAAAACCATTTTCCCCATGAGAATTTCTCTTAAGAAAATGAAATTCTCCTGATTATTGTCTTTAAATCAATAAGTACATTTTTGGTACCTAGCTTCTGTTTTTTATTATTCCAGATTGAATGTTACAATTAAAAAATTCCCTTTCGAAACCGTATGACTATAACTTACGAGCTCATAATTAAACATGCAGTGGCTTACAATTTAAACATATGAAACGAAAAGTAGGTGTATTACTTGTTTTCCTTATATAATTGTTTTCTTTTTATTATAATTGTTTTCTTTTTATTATTACGTTTGCTAATCATTCCAAAATACATATTAATTGATAAAGGATTCCTATTTGCATTGATCTCATTTTAATTATTTTTGTAACACTATGTTTTATTGTTTCTGAGTCGTGATGTATTAAGTAAGAAAATGTACATCAGATTTCAGTAGATATAGCATGTGTTTGCTAATCTCTGATATATGCACATAAGCTGGTCTTTACATGAAGAGCACTGCCACAGAAAGTTCCTGTATCTTTAAGAAATAATTGATTGGCACCGTAACTCAACAAGGTATATATTGCATAACGGAACTATCTTGAAAAAGCCTGCTTGAACCCGGGTGAAACGCGTTGATTTGAGGAAGGCCTTTACTTACCAATATCAGCGGATTTCTTCAGCGGTGTGGAGTTACAGCGTCTCTCCATTCTGGCTTCCAAAGACTGTGGCTTTATGAAAGGAACTTGTACCGATTCAGCTGCTCCGACGGAGTTAACAAAAATAAATTGTTGTTTCATTATATCCCGTTTAAGGCATCCTTTCTAGGGATACAATACCATACTGAATTGTGGATAGAAAACATAACCTAACATTGGTTATAACAAAAAGGGACTTACAGACTATACCCTATATTTTACATCCACCACTGTGGAGGTGGAAAGTGAACTCTGCACTAAAGAACAGGAATATTAATCCCTTTATGTACAACATTTTACAGTGCTGTCATTTTCTTTCAGCATACCGGAAAGTATAGTTGATTATAAGAATGTTCTAGTTTATCTATGTCGACATTAACTTTGAAATTGACTTTGAATTCTCACTTTAGTGAATAACACTGTCAGGTTTATTTACTAGAGTGAGAATTCAAAGTTAATCTAACATTTAATGTCAAAATAGTCAACTGGAAAAATGTTCTATGTCAGCTATGCTTTTACCTCAGATATTTCAAATCTTAAATTTGAAATTCAATTCAGTTTGAAATTTATGTCTTCATCAAAGAAACCTTTTTTGGCACCTTTGCTCCTCTGATCAACTACAAACACTGACAGGTGAAGTGAGTAACATTGGGCATGTTTGAAAATGAGAGAAATCTCAATTTATTCTTCCAGGTAAAATACAATGGGACCCTGTCAAGGGGTGGTACATATATCAAGCAGCGAGTGTACAGTCAGTTCTTGAATGTCATTTGTTGGAAGCAGGAAAAATGGGCACGCAAAAATATCTGAGTTACTTTTTCAAGGGCCAAATAGTAATGGCTAGAAGACTGGGTCAGATCATCTCCAAAATGACAACCAGAATCAGAGTCAGAAGTGTCCAAGGTTCACTGATGTACATGGGGAGCAAAAAACGTAATGCTCGCCAAGATAGAAAAGTGTCCAAACAATCTCTAGGAAGGTGGTATGTGTCAAAGTAACAACAGCAGAACATTGTCCAGAGCAGAGCTGGATTAACACAGGGGCTGATGGAGCTGCAGGCCCATTGATTTAAAAAATATATTTTATTATGTATTTTTTTTTTTTTTTACACACACTACTCTTAGGGTTGCCAGGTATTTCTCAGAAGTATTTATCAGGTATTTGAGGCTGCCTAGCCGGTGCCGGTATTGCAGTAATACCGGCAACACAAATGTCAGTCTCAGCATAAACTAAGATTACATGCAATACTGTCATCGGCCAGTAGAGACAGTCAACAGCTCAGGTAAGTGAGGGATGTGGGGATAGGCTGCAGGGAGACATGGGGACACAGACACTAGAAGACACAAGGGGGCACTGAGACACTAGGGGACACTGGTAGACATAGTTACACTTGGGAACACTGAGACACTAGGGGGCACTGGGAGACCTGGAGAAACAGACTGCGAGAGATTTGGACGGTGAGAGACTTGGGGACACTGGGAGACATAGGGACACTTGGTGACACTGAGACACTAGGGGGCACATGAAGACCTGGGGACACTGAGACAGTAGAGGAAACTGTAAGACATGAGGACGGAGAGAGACTTGGGGACACTGAGACATTGGGACACATGGGGACACTGAGACACTGGGGAACATGAGACACTAGGGACACAGTATCCCCATGTCTCCCAGTGGCCCCTAGTCTCTCAGTGTCCCCATGTCTCCCATCCAGCGTCCCTAGGATCTCAGTGTCCCCATGTCTCCCAGTGTCCCTGGTGTATGTGTCCCCATGTCTCCCAGTGTCTCCTCAGTGTCCCTAGTGTCTGTGTCCCTAGTCTCCCAGAGTCCCCTAGTCTCCCAGAGTCCCCATGTATCTCAGTGTCCCCATGTATCTCAGTGTCCCCGTGTCTCTCCCAGTGTTCATAGTGTCTCAGTTTCCCCATATTTCACAGTGTCCCAATGTCTCTAAGTGTCCCCGGTGTCCTAGTGACATGGGGACACTGGGAGACACAGGGACATAGACTCTAAGGGACACTGGAAGACATGAGGATTTAAACACTAGGGGACACTGGGCGACATGGAGACACTGAGACACTAGGGTTCACTGAGAGACATGGGGGCACTGGGCAACTTTGAGACCTGGGAGACATGGGGCACTCCCCCTGTCTCCCAGCCATTGTCCCTAGTATATCAGTGTCCCCATGTCTCCCAGTGTACCTGGTGTCTCTCAGTGTCCGTAGTTTGCCAGTGTCCCTAATGTTTCAGTGTTTTCTGGTCTCCCAAAGTTCCCTAGTCTCCTAGTGTCTCAGTGTCCCCTAGTATAAAAAAATCTCAGGCACTCACTGTGATAGATTTAAGCAGGTTTATTGGACAATGCAACATTTTGACCTGTACCCAGGTCTTTATCAAGTCTCCAGTGTCCCCTATATATCACAGTGTCCCCTTTGTATCACAGTGTCTCAGTGCCCCATGTCTCCCAGTGTCCCCTCGTGTCTCAAAGTCAACCAGTGTCCCCATGTCTCCATGTCTCCCAGTGTCCCCAAGTGTCTCAGTGTCCCAAGGTCTCCCAGTGTCCTAATGTCTCTCAATGTCCCCTAGTGTCCTCATCCTAATCTGGACACTGGGAGACATGGGGACACAGACACTAAGGGTCTGGGAGACATAGGGACAGTTCGTCAGTTCATGTTATGTGATTTGCGTCAGTGGCCCACCCTTTTACTGGACACTGCTGTTAATAGGCATGGATTTACTTGAGATGAAAGCTTGAGATTAGCATAGATTGTGTGTTTTCTAATAGCTGCATTTTATGAGTTTCCCTCCAGCACCATCTCCATCAGATACATGAAGCTTGGGAGGTAGGACTGTTTTAGTGTTTTTGGTCCATAAGATTTTGTAATTTGGCCCATCATATTTGTCAGCACCAGGCCCAATGGGCTCTTAATCTGGCCCTGGTCCAGAG